TCTTTATTTCTGCTTTTGACTGTGAGTTTGTTTCTTTGTGTTGTTGAAGGCAGGTAGCAAATCCTAGGTTTTTAGGGCTGCCAGGGACCAGACTCTCACCCCAACTCCAGTAACAAAACCACACTGAGATTCCATATCATACCTGCTACAATTTTTAGTGTTGGTATAGATGTAGAGAAAGAGGAATGGTAGTGCATCTCAGGTAGGTAGCAAAATGAAGCAATTGCTGTGAAAAACAGTATTTACATGAAATTACTATGTGATCAAGCAATTGCCCTACATATATATCCAAGAGAACTAAAAGTAGGGACTCAAACAGAGATCAACACACTAATGTTTATAGCAGAATTATTTACAATCAAATTTCTTTGGCAGATAAGTACATGAATAAAATGGAATATTATTCAGTCTTAAAATGAATGACCTCTTGCTACATGCTATCAACACAGATATATTAGGAAAAGAAACTAGACACAAGGATATATATTGCATGATTCCTTTCATATGGTAGGTCCAGAATGTGTAAATTCAGTCACAGAAAAAGTATCAGTCTCCCTATGGAAAGAGGGAAATGGAAATGACTCCCAGTGAAAATATTTAAAAATATTTAAAATATTTAAAAATGTCTGGTCACACAACTTTATGGATATACAAAACCCATGAAATTGAATAAGATGATGAAATTTGCCATATGTTAATCATGTCCCAGTAAAAAATACAATACAATAATGGGTAAATGGACAGAGATAGACATATTTACTGTAGACAGTGTTAAAACGTTGGTTTTGTTAATAAAATTATAGGTTGCTTTATTATGTGCCTGTTCAACTTAATAGAGATTGAAAATACTCCAAATCTTTAAATATTCCTCTGAAGCTTTAAAAATGGTTTATTTATTATTGTTGTATATGGGGGTGGTCAGGGAACAACTTTCTGGAGTTGGTTATCTCCTTCCACGGCGGGATCTGGGGATTGAGCTCAGACCATCAGGCTTTCATGAAGTTTTCCTGATGAGCCCTTTTGCCAGCCCTCTCTGAAACTTTTTAAAAACAATTTCAAAAGATTTTATTTATTTTTTATTTTATGTGTATGAGTGTTTAGCCTGCATGTTAAGTGCATAATTTACATACAGCATCTATGGAGGCCTGAAGAGGGTGTCGAATCCCTTGGAGCTGGAGTTACTGGTGGGTTTAAGAGACTGGATATGGGGGCTAGGAATTAAATCGACTTCCCCTGCAAGTGCTTTTAAACGCTTAGCCATCTCTCTAAACCCTCTCTCTCTGAAAACCTTGAAAAATAACTTCTGATACATCAAACAACGTGGACACATCTCCAAAGCATGTTCAATGAAAGAAAGTGAGGCTCAAAAGCCTGTGTGTTGAGTTACTTTATGTGAAGTCTAAGCCCAACTAATGGCTGGCTAACTATGATATACTGCGCTGGGCCATGGATTCAGAGTTGCAGTTTAGGAAGATGAAGAGCTTAAGTAAATTAACAGTTGTGGTCATCAAACAACACTCAGAATACAGTTAAAGTCACTGACCTATACACTGAAAATGGTTAAAATTCTGCTCTGTATAGTTTATCAAAATTTGTCACTAAAAGCTGGACACAAATACAATGTTTGTTTCCATTTTAACAAAATTCTACAATAGACAACATGAATGTAAATTGTTCAGAAGTGGGCAAAGGGAGCCTATAGGAAGGCCAGGGTGGCTATTACACTCATGCACCCAAAGAAAAAATTTGCCAAGATGTCACTTTACAGTATACAATATATTTTAGTTACAAGCAGAAAGATTAGCATCCAGGGAAATCTGGTATGGACAAATTGCTTGCTCGCTATTAAGTGTAATGTTTATCTAAAATTCTAGCATTTGGCAGGCACTCAAGGAGACTCAGGTGAGATAGTTCAAGGCCAGCCTGGCTGCATAGTGAGATGGTCTCAAACAAAATATAAATAAATAAATAAATAAATAAATTCTTTCTTGCAAGAATTCCTTGATTGTGAAGCACGTTTTGCATTAGAGTAAACCAGAGAACAGGTCCTTTGGTTGGGGGTGGGGAGGTTGGGGAATCACAAGGCATACCTATGCATGGTCTCAGTAAAACAAGGAAACTCTGCATTTGAAAGAGAAACAGCTTTGTACCTAGCGCCAGCCAGGTGGGCATGGTAAGTCAGACCCTTGAGTTCTGGGACTCCGGAGGAAACAAGATGGGGAGAAGGAGCACTTCTGGGATTCTGGGCAGGCTGTGAACTAATTATGCAAAGGTGAGGGGCCAACCAACTGAGCAGGGACTGCAGCTTCCTCCACTCACCAATGGAGTTGAAGCTGAGGCTGGACACTTGAGGGAGAACTTTGGAGCTTTGTTGTAATAATAAAGGCTTCACCCCTTCCATTTCCTCTTGGATCTGGCACCGCTAATGGCCTGGAGAACAGTAGCTTGGAGCATCAGGCCACAGTACCTTTATTTTGAACACTTCGAAGTGTCTCCCAGAGCAATTCTTTGGCAAAATGAGGGTGGGGTATGGGTAAAAGAGGGCTGGGGGATGACTCTTAGCCAGTCCATAAGTACATATGTAAGCATCCATCTAAGACAACCAGGAACACTTCGCAGGAATTTTGCACTCAGGGTGCAGAGTATGGGGCCTGAAGACCAGCAGACCTGCTAGGGTAATAATAGGGAGCTAGGTTCACTATAACTTGTGAATTGATGGCTAGCTAAGATGAGTTCAGTCTGCCAAAGCCTGGATAGACCCAATGAATGTGCACTACTGTCTATGTCCATTATATGAGCATGTGTTAAATGTGCATATCTTTAAAAAACAAACAAACAAACAAACAAAACTGGTCTGGTAAGATGGCTCAGAGTAAATGTACCTGATGCTAAGCTTGTTGACCTGAGTTTGATCCCTAGAACCCACATTTTAGAAGTTGTCCTCTGACATCCACATGCACGCAGTGACACACACACGTACCCCCGCAACACACACACACACACACACACACACACACACACACACACACACACACACACACAAAGTAAATAAAATGTTAAGTCCTCTAGGACTAGCAGAGGTTTTGCTTAAAATAAATAAAATTACATATATGTGTGTGTGTGTGTGTGTGTGTGTAATATATATCATGGTGTCCTAGTATATATTTGAAATTTTGAACTATTTCTTGTTCCAAGACATTCTTTTGAGACTGTGCTTCAGAGATGAGGAGGTTTACCCAGTGGTTAGAGTCCTGTCACTCATTCTCCACTCCTCTGTCTCTTTGCACTATCATATAAGCTCTTCTGCTTGATCTCTTCCATTTCTAGGGTTGTGGCAGGACTTAAGGCTAGCTTTACTTCTTCCACAGGGGGAAAATAACACCCAATGAGAAGAAAAGTATAACAGCTATGTGCCTCCCTAACCCCACCTCATCCAGTGTGCCCACAAACCTTCCCCCAAAGTTTGCTAATTAAAATAATCAAGGTGAAAGAGGTTCCAGGATGCTGCAGGCTTCTGACAGAGATGAAATTTGCAGGGAAGTCTTGTCCCTTCAGGCCAGTGCTCACCCACACACACACACACATCCTACACACCCTCCCCCCAATAAGTAACAGAAAGAAGAAATGAATGTGTGAAGAAGTCACATATTAAAGCCACAGAACCACTTTTATTTAATTGCTACCACAAATGCAGAATAGAATTAAGGCAGTATGATATATTTCATTTTCTCCTTAGAAGCTTGTGTACAGTTAACTTTGATTAAAGTGTTAATTTGAATCAGCAACTGAAATTTCATTTAAATGGCAGTTTGTTCTTGAGTCCTAAAGGAAAATCACTTTCAGGACTGTCATGAGACTAACTGCTTCACAGACTTACTGGTGCTGGCAGTTCTTCCTCCCAAGACAGGAGGGTCACAAAGACAAGGCTTTTTAATACTCCATTTGCTTCTAGCTATCAGTTATTACCTAAATTTCCCTTTAAATGAAAAAGAAAGTTAAAAACTGATGGTGTCAAAACATCGAGGTGTTTAAAGAGTGATTATGGATTATAATATTACAAACGTAATGATAACTGACACTCAAGGTTCCAAACCTTAAGAAATTACTTGCACATGGATCTATTTCTGTAGAAATAAAAGAATGTACTGGCCAATGCTTGAAAGACCCAAAAGCCAGCAGTGGATGTAGGATGACTGAGGGAAGAGCCAGCAGAGATACGGTGACTAGTAACAAGGTTGGAAGCAGCCCTGAAATGGACAGAGTCCCCCTTGAAATGGCGTAAAATCATCTCATCATTTCCAACCAAATCTATAAAAATCAGCACCGAAGTTTAAATTTACACAAAATAGAATCAGCTTAGTATGACATATCATTCCTTTTGCTACTTGATCTGCCAGGCATTAAAATGTACTTTAATAAGAACTTATCTAATTCTATTCTTCAGATAGGGTCATGTTTTGTCAAGTGTTTGCACTTCATCCTAAGTCCTTTTCTGACTTTCATTAAAGGTACAACACAGAGTTATACACTTAGAACATAAAGCTGTGAGGTCACAGTCACATTACAGAGCTGACCACCAAGACAAGCTGTCACATTACAAGCAAGTCACATTACAAGCTGACCCCCAACCCCTGGGAGTGGGAGAACAAAGCAGGAGGCAGAGGAAATCAGGAATTGGGAGGGAGAGCTTGAAAGTCAGGGAGGAGGATCAAAGCAACAGACAGTTCAGAGATCACTGAGGGATAAAAGCCAACCTTATAAGAACAGCAAGGCTTAGGAGTTCAGAATCACAGATGTCACACTTGGAAATTTGATCTCTAAGATAGAAAGAATATACACACACTTTCAAGTGTACAAGGTGCCAAAGAGGAGTGTGCTTGAAAGGTGGGTGGAACTTCCACTGTGTCTGGGGGTCCATGTCTGTGTGTGTCAGTGTGTCTGTGCAATGGAGATATCTCACGCTAGACTGCATAAGCAGGGCAAACTGTAAAGAACACTTTTCACACAGCCATCTCATCAGAACAATCGGAATCATCAGAATCATCATCAATAAGCAGGACCTTTCGGTAATCATCAATGGCAATGGGGATTACTGTGGGGTCAGGAGGGGTGGCAGAGGTAGCAGCAAGCTCAGGGAATACAATGGGAAGGCTGGAGGCAGGTTTGAGGTGGCCAGTGGTGGTCATCTCAAGGCAATGGGAGGCTGAGATCTCAGGGAGATCAACAGCAGTGAGCACAGAATGGCTAGTGGTGGCAGGTTCAAGATAGTCAACAGTGGTGGTTGCAGGGTGGCTGGTAGCAGGCTTAATGTAGCCAGCAGTGGATGTAGGATGGCTGGGGGAAGAGCCAGCAGAGATACAGTGACTAGTAACAAGCTTGGAAGCAGCCCTGAAATGGACAGAGTCCCCCTTGAAATGGACAGAGGTGGGTTTGAGATGGACCAAGGCGGGCTTGAAATGGACAGAGGGTAGACAGAGGCAGACTTGGGGTGGCCAGAAAGAGACTTATGATGGATAGAGGCAGGTTTGCGGTAGGCAGAAGTACACCTGGTTTGGGGCTTGGAATGGACAGAGACACGATCAGAGTGGGCTGCTGCCGCATCACCAGGCAATAGAACATTCCAGACATTCCGTGATGTTCCTTCCATAGCAAGACGGGTACGGGCACGCTCTTGTTCTCGGGCTTGGTCATGGGCACGGACATGGGCACAGACATGGGCACGAGTGAGAGCTTGGGTCTCCCGAGTCTCCCGAATGTCAGTGATGAGGTGAGAGATGAACAGGATAGGGTGCCGCAAAGCATGAAAGATGGTCCAATATTCTCGTCGGAAACTCTCATTGAGGATACCATAGATGACAGCATTGAGGCAGCTGTTGAAGTAGGCTATGTAATAGGCTGCAAGATAAAGCCAGTTGGGGATCTTGCCTGCCATATCTTTTGGACTGACAGCCACCAACACAGTGAGCACATTGATAGGGCACCAGCACACTGCAAAAAGGAGGAAGATCACAAACATGGTTAGAAAATTTCGAACCTCAGCAAACTGGTTATCAGGATTCTGTCCAGCTGGGTCATGGGCTGCCAGCACTTTGATCCAGATTTTGGTGTAGCAATAACTGACTATGATGAGAGGGAGGATGAAGTGGATGCAGACAATGGTCATGGTAACGACGGGGTTGTTCGCATAGTTGAAGATACAGGAGTAAGTGTGAGGATCATACTCAGTGGTGCCAATGTACATGTTAGGCAGGACAGCCAGGACAGTCATGACCCAGGTAATGACCAGGTAGATGTAAGTGTTGCGCAGGCTGAAGATCCGCTTATATTGGAGGCTGTGGCAGATGTAGCAATAACGATTGATGGCAATGGCCGTAATGTTGAAGATGGAACCAACCACACTCAGTCCTGAGACCAACCCGACTATCTGGCACTGGAGCTGACTCAGATCCCAGCCCCCAACTGACATGGCATACAGCATCATAGGGTAGGGGTAGATGGCCACCAGCATGTCTGCCACGGAGAGGCTGGCCACAAAGATGTTGCCTGGAAAACACGAGAGGAAGGAAAAGAAGGAAAAAGACTGAAATCAATGGTTAATGTTTGGAAAGCTACCTCCCAAAAAGGAAAAGGCTAATTTGATGGGTGGCAATTTAGAATACTAGATTTCTTTTGAAGAACAATTTTCTTCTTTCTTATTTACAAGAAAGTCCCAGCAAGTTTGGGACACCTGCGCTTTGCCAACCTTTTGCTTGTTGGTTTCCAGTGTCATCCTTGCTCCGAGAAAGAAGTGAATATAAGACAGAGTGAGCGAGACAGCACACAAGCATCATAGGTGTGTGTTGGGGGGAGTCCTGCTGATGCCATTTTAGAGAAATACAACTATGCCACATTTTCTGCACTGGAAGAGGTGGGGAAGGAAGAGTGAGAGAGAGGGGAGGTACATGGAGCTGTCCAGAAGTAGAGTCAACCTAAAATTAACAATGATAGTAATAATGTATTAACCCTCTTCCTTATGAAGGAAGACCTATCTACTGAAAGAGACCACCCTGAGAAGGCCTTGGGGGCTTGTTCAAAGAGATCAAATAGTACTGTCTGACATCCCAGTGAAACACTGGCCATTCCCCAGCTACCTTGAGAAAAAAGCCTAAGAAGAGGGGAGAACCCCTTTAATATCAAGTCTGAAGTCAAAGACAGTGATCAGGGGAAAGGAGAAATCTCTCCAAGTGCAGTTTTACCCTCAGCCATGCACAAAGCATCCTGCACAGACTCCTCTTGAGCCAGGCTGAAGAGAAAATAGCTGTGGGTAAACCCTGCCTTCTGCCCTGCCCCATTCAAAGGACAGCAGTACCATATATATATCATTCTTTACAAAAAGTAGACGAAAAAGGCCAAGTGCAGGCACAGGGTCCTCTTTCTTTGGGAACACCTCGTTGCTAATTAGCTTTGGTTTGGCAAAATACTGCACTTTGTCCTGGACTGGGAGAAAATGAGGGCTTTTTAAAAGGATACCAAGACTTGCCCTCCGTGCTTTTTTGCCAAAAGTGCTTCTTTCTAGGGTTTTCCCGCAAAGTAATGAACTTTCAAAAGAAAAATAGGAAAGAAATGTCAAAAGCCTTAAAACCCACAACACAAAACAACTTTTATTTGCAATTTATAAGAAAAGAGAAAAGGAAGAAGAGGAAAGGAGAGAGAAAAGATGAGTGAGCTTTCGAGGTAACTGCCCGTGTTCTGTGGATCTGCCCTTGGATACTGAATCAAGAGTGAAAGGTGAGGTCCAAGGCTCAGCCTCAGGTCTTTGGGTTACAAAGGAGAAATCAGAAGCTCTCACGGGAGTTTGAACGAAAATTTTTAATGACTCTTGAGTCTGTCACTGAGTTTTGAAACTTGTTCCCACTAAGCAATTCGCTAGGACGCTGCCTGGCTCTTTTCCACAGCCCCAGGCTGAGGGTCTACTTGGTTCCCAACCCTCCCAGATTTGTACATTTTCCCAAGCCGCTGAGATCTTGGAAAAGACGATCCAGGGCGCCACCATCACCGGCCCTCCTTTCATCTACAGCCTTCTCCCACCCACACTGGAAACCAGACTCACAGCTTTCCAATCCTCTATACCCCCACCCACCCTGCTCTGCACAGGTCTCAGTGTCCAGCACTTTCCCGCGCTGTTCCCCTGGGATCTGCCCTGATGGGCAGCTAGCGGAATCTGGCTCGCTGTTGACACATCCAAGCTAGGAGCCTCTTGCCTCCCCAGGAGCACTCAAGCTGCCCTCCCGCCTTTCCTACCTGGTTCTGCCTCCTCCTTCCCCGCGCCTGCCGCTGCGCAGAGCTCCTGAGCCCCTCCGCCGCCCTCCTTGTAACTCCTCAGTACAGACCTCCGGATGTCTGCTGCCCTCACCACCGCCGCCACCGCCTGCAGGGTCCAGCCCGTCGCTTGCCCTGGGACAAGCAGACGGAGCTCGGTTCCAGCGGGCTCAGACCTCCCTACTAGATACTTGGGCGTGGTGTCTGCACTATGCCTCGCTGCTGGAGAGCAATCTGGGAGCACTAGGAAGCTGGTGAGCAGAGTCTCCTTTGACTTTGTGGGAAGCCGCAGCATTGCGCTCCTGGGAGCGCCGCAGCCGCGAACTTCTCAAAGCCTGTCGCAACCGCTGCTCTTTCAGAGACAGTTCGGCTTGCAGTGCCTCTAAGAGGCCGCCCCTCTGGTGTCCAGTTCGGCCGGCTGTCCCCTGGTAGCAATCAAACTCTCCGTTCCTGTGCCGACTCCCTCCGTATCCGGGCTCTCGGACCAGACACGGGTTGGCGGGCTGCCGTGCACCCTACGAACCCAGGCTTTGCCTTTGGCTGCCCCACGCTAATTTCCTGAGCTCCCCCAGCGCTATGAAGCTCGAAGTTTAGGGGAACCCGGTAAAACGTCATCCCTACCGCCCTCCAGGCTTGGGAGGAATTTGGGAGAGGGGACTGCAAATTGCTGTTCATTAAATAGGGAAAAGAAGGGCGACTTACCAGAATTTTGGAGCTTCTTGTTCTTGGTCACAGCCAAAAGGACCATGGAGTTGCCGATCAGGTCTAAGACAACAGTGATAACCATTGCGCAGAACATGAAGGTGATTAGTGCTAGTGGGTAGTCAGGTTTTGGCAGCTTACAGCCAATGCAGCCGAATGGTGTGGGAACCGCCTTGGTAGGTCCCATGTTGCTCTTGGGGACCACGGCCATCCCTCCTAAGCAAGCTCAGGTTCCTTGGTGAGTCCGTACAGTGAATACCTGCTCTGTCACCAGGAGCTCTGGGAGCTCCTGGGAAGCGTGGTGCTCTCTGAGGCTCTGGGAGCAAATGACAGCTCCCTGCCCCTCTCTGGTGAGCTTTTAAAGCCTCAATGAGCGACTAGCCCCACCTCTAGCCCCTCCCCCTGACCAATCAGAGCTTTTTGGCCACCCTCCACCCCACCCCCGCTTAGTCACCACCTTGCCTTGGAGGAATCCACTGCTAGGTGTCCTCTTGCCTCTGACTACCCTATTTGTGCTTCCCCTACTCTCTAGCCAGCCCCACCCGCCCCTGTGAATCCCCTAGGTACTTTGCTTTGTGACTAGCTCTGAGTCACTAAGCATCCATTTCTAGCAAGTTCTCCTTCTCTCTCCAACACAAATACCTGTTAAAGAGATGTAGCTTTCAGAGAGGGCTCATGAGGTGCTTCTTGGGGTCTACTGCCAGTCCAATCAAGTGTGCAACCCCCCCCCCCCACTTAAGGTGTAAGGGACAGCCAGCGACCCTTTAAAGCCCCGTACCCTTGTCTTTACAAATTCCTTTAGAGGTTTATCCTACTCCCCACGCTCTAGACTGTCCATAGCTTTCTGTAGCCGGTGAGGAACGCAGGACAAGTGATCTCTCCTCTCCCACAGCAAATTGAGGTCCCTATACTCTAAGAAATTCTTCCCGCTCTGGGTCGGTCATTCTAGGAGTGGGTCTGCTCCTGTAGCTGCTGGACTTTCATTCTCCGTGGGGAAATGTACTCTGTGCTGCACTTTAAAAGCCCAGACCAGGTCTGCACCCCGGGAACTGGGAAGAACAGAAGGTGGTTGCTCAGCTTTAGGACGGGTGGGAGCTGGACCTCCTGTCCTCCCAGTTACCCACAGCCTGGCGATAGGAATTTAGTAACTGCTTTAGGTAAACATAAAACCAGCAAGAAAGCCTCTCTCCTGGGTTCCTGCTCTTTGAAGCAGCCCTGGGAGAACCGGTCAGGCTTCTCTCCCTTTCTTGGTGCTCTGCACTTCCTATCTGGTGGTACCTAGCAGTCGGACAGGCGGGGGATCTGCGGCACTGTGGCCACAAACCCGTTGTGGCAGAACCTGGCCCATAGCAAAGAAGCTGCAGGAGCATCCGCAGCCCCCAGCCCAAGGCACAACGTTTGCAGGCCTCTCTTAGCCAGGGACTCTTTTTTTCAATCTCTTCCTTTTCGGGCTGCACTTTCACACCGCGGGTCTCCTTCCCCATAGATACAGGCACCAACCGCAGTGTGCGACCAAAGGGGGATTTGAACGTTGAGGCTCAGACACAAGGGCTCCTTTCGGACTCTGGATGGTTCCAAAAGCCTGGTCAAGGAAGTGGATTTCAGCTGACTACTAAAAGTTATTGATCATGCTAGGGAGCCTTGAAGCGAAGAGGGAAAAAAAGACAAAAATCCTGAGGTAACACCTGGAGAGTCGCTGTGCAGACCAGCCTTCCCCCCCCCCCCCCCCCCCCCGCAGGACTGATGGATTGCAATGGCCCGGAGTGCAGCCATCTGGACATCGAAACACCCTACCCTGGGGTGGGGGGCGGTCACGGGGACGGGCTAGGGCAAGTTTCACATTGTACTTCAGCGCATTTATAGACATTCAACTGAAAAACGAACACTGCTGGTAACTAAAATCACACACTTTGTCTGACTAAAATACTAGAAGAGAGTCTCTGAGCTAGAAAAAAAAGTCCCCGTCCCCATCCTGGCTCACAGCTGAGAACCCAGCGCTAACCCCCACCTCCCACCAGGAGCTTTTTCACATTTTATTGACTGTTTCCTGGCTGCAACCCTGGCCCGCCTCAGCCAGGATTTTACATAAAGGAACCACAGCCCAAGAGTCAGCTTGAAGTACGCGGTGCCCTACTGTGCATCTGGACAGGAGGCTAACAACTCAAAGCCTGTCCACTTCTAAGACTATGTAAGAACGATGTTAGGCTCAACATAAGACATGATTCTGCGAGAATTCAGAACCTTTTGCTTGGAGGACCCGAAGCAGTTTTGAATTCAATAAACAGACTAGAATGGAAGAAAAATGGAAAGCAGCTTCTTAGGGGCTGCAAACACTATCCTCTCCGTTCCCTGCAAACATCTGGAAGGCTGTGGCAGACTATTCAGCCAGTTGTGCTCCAGTGTGAGAATTGTGGAGCTGAAGTGGCCCTGAAGTTGGCAGAGTCCCTGGCGCTGGAAGCTAGCCTTGAAAGCAGAATGAAATGCCTAGGGACTGAGGAGCAAGCCCAAGAGTGAGCTGAGGTCTGACCCCTGTCCCATTTGGACACTATTTGACCATGACTTCATGAAGTTTTGATTTTTCAACACCAAGGAGCAAATACTTTAATAATTGCTGGAGAAAGAATTCTGTTTCTACTTGAATTGTTATTTTTATGAACTAGTTTAATACACATTCTGAACATCACCTCAATACTAAGAAAAAGACGTGGATATTAAAGCTGTCATATGAACACAAATGAGGGAGAAAGTGGGGCCTGCTTACAGGGGTAAGTAGGACAAGTCTCATGCATAATAAATTTGATGACTTTGGAACATTTAAATCGTGACTCCTTTGTGGGTACAGTGCAGAGTTTGTGATTTTAGAATCTAAAGGCATTTTTAAAAATTAGTAAAGCCTGCTTAGAAGTCTTTAAAACTAGGATAGACAGAAACACTGAGACTTGAAAACTATTAACTATTAGAATCCCAAAAGGGAGACCTGGGGCCTTCTCTCAATGGGTACTTTCAGTTCCAGAAAAAGTGACCTTTCTCAGCATATAAGCCAGCACCTGTGGGGTTTGAGCTGATTGTGGTGGAAGATGGCATTTCAGCCTCCAGGCTCTCTGTTCGCTCCTAAGCACTGTAATAATGCCTCACCTATGGTTAGTCAGCTTGCTTGTTTGCTTGTTTTAGTACTAGTTGAACCTAGTACTTCCAGCATGCAGGGTAAACTCTCACAATTGAGCTATATTCCAAGTCCATGAATGCAGTTTTATATAAGCATTTTGTAGTTTTATAATGCTCATTGGGGATGTATTTTCTCCCGACAACAGCATTAAACAGATGGTGAAACCACTATCTAGAGGGATGAAAGTTGTGCCAAAGCTAGTAGAGGACCCTCAGCTAAGATTTAGACTCAGTCCCTGCTCAGTCCAGAGCCTTGCTCCCAAGCACCAGCTTCATAAGAAGTATTCACATGCTTTGCCATGCTGGAGGACTTGATAAGAGAAATGTTTTATTCTCATTTTCATTATTTTACTGTTTGTTCACTTGTTTTTACTGAGATATAATTCACATATTCACATACCATAATATTCTCTCTCTCTCTCTCTCTCTCTCTCTCTCTCTCTCTCTCTCTCTCTCTCTCTCTCTCTCTCTCTCTCTCTCCCCTTCTTAATAGGGTCCTTCCCACATAGCCCAGTCTGATTTCAAACTCACTGTCCTCCTGCCTGAGACCCTTGAGTGCTAGGATTACAAGCATGTACTCACACCTGGATTTTCAATTCACCCCCTCTCTTTCTTTCTCACATATTTTCAAAGCTGTATAAACATCATTACTGTCTAATTTCACTCCTCACACTCTTCATCTGGTTCTCCACCTCCCAGAAATCACCAATGTTCTTGCCTTTATGGATTTTTCCATCTAAGCACTTCACAGATACAGAATCACACAATATTAGTCTTTTCTGTCTGGTTTTTTTCCCTAACACAATGCTTTATGGTCCATCAATGGAAAAAACGTGGGTCAGGACTCCATTCCTTTTTATGGCTGAATGATGCTACATTGTGTGGATAGACTATTTCTTCTTTATCCACCCATCCACAGATGGACACATGACTTCTTTCCACTTTTCTACTACCATGCCAAGTATTTCTAGGAACACTCTGGATTCTCTTTAGCCCCAAGAAGCTCTAGGCTGAGATAGATAAGCAAAGGGCCTCTTGGTCTCTTTACCACTAGCTCCCACGTTTGCTAAGGGATGTCTCCAACCTCCTTTTACTAATGTGCTCTGAAATTTTCAAATCACTTGCCAAAGGCATGTAACACCATTGGATCTAATATGCAAAACTGACAAATGAGAATTTGGTATGATTCTAATAACAGTGCAAATGTCTTTTCAGTCTGAACACAAACAGGGCAGTCTCTGTTTTCACACCTCTGAGATCTCTCTCTCCTTGTAGGAAGACAATAGAAACCCTCTGCTGTGGATATCGCTCTGTACAAATAAAACACTGATTGGCCAGTAGCCAGGCAGGAAGTATAGGTGGGACAAGGAGAGAGGAGAATTCTGGGAAGTGGAAGGCTGAGACAGAGAGAGGCCTGCCAGCCGCCTCCATGACAAGCGAGATGTGAGGTACCAGTAAGCCACGAGCCACGTGGCAACTTATAGACTAATAGAAATGGGTTAATTTAAGATAAAAGAAGTAGATAACAAGAAGCCTGCCATGGCCATACAGTTAGTAAATAATATAAGCATCTGTGTGTTTATTTTATAAGTGGGCTGTTGTGTGGTGGTATTGTGTTCCCCAAAATGTTGTGTACCTTAATAAACTTATCTGGGGTCAGAGAACAGAAAAGCCACAAGATACTTAGACTAGAAAATGTTAGCACACGCCTTTAATCCTAGCATTCCAGAGACAGAAATCCCTCTGGATCTCTGTGAGTTCAAGGCTGCATTGGAAACAGCCAGGCATGGTGACTCACACCTTTAATCCCAGAAAGCAGCCTTTAATCCCAGGGGGTGGTGGTAGAAAGCAGAAAGGTTTATAAGGCATGAGGACCAGAAACTAGAAGCATTTGGCTGGTTGAGCATTTGGCCTGGTTAAGCTTTTAGCTGGTTAAGCATTCAGGCTTCTAGCAGCACTTCAGCTGAGAGCCATTGGGATGAGGACACAGAGGCTTCCAGTCTGAGGAAACAGAACTAGTGGAGGAATTGGCAAGGTGAGATAGCT